TCCAAGTCTCACTGCGTGTGACTCTGCCCCTCTGCCCGCCCCAGCATCCCGACCCATGAGGTGGGGGTGAGGATTCCTCTCACGGGGGCAGCTGGGGGTGTCACATCAGATACGGAGGCCTCCATGGTGGTGGTGATGTGTAGAGGTGAAATACTCCATCACAGGATCCGTGGCCTAAGAAACAGGACCTGTCCGGGGGGTGAGGGTGATGAAAAAGATGCTGTTCCCTATTTGAGAGGACCTCCTGATAACAAGTCACAGAAACTCCAAATTGCTAAAGTGAAAAATAATGGATGGATGGTTTCAGGTGCAGCTTGATCCAGGGACTGAAACAACCGTCTCAGAAATCTCGCCCTTTCCGCTTCCTGCTTCTGTTGGCTTCTCCCTGGGGTGGAGAAAACTACCATCCCAGCTCACATGGGCGACCCTGGCCATGGTGGGTCCCCGATCCTGCTCTATTCATGCTCATGCCCAGGGACAGCTGGGCAGCTCCAGAGACCCGGGTTCTGGGGTTGCAGGACCCCTCCCACCCCATCTACACAGGAGACTGGAGTAACCTGTGGACCACGTGCCCAGGCCTGAGGGATCGTGGGAGGCCGTAGGGAGTTGGGGAGGGGGGCAGGGAGAGGCTCAAGGCTGTGAGACCACAGAGGGAGCCTAGGCTGACCCACATCCATCAGGACTCGTGTCCACTTGGCCTGATCCTGTCCAGGCTCAGCGTCAGGGATGCAGTCCAGGCCGGAGCTCAGCGTAGGGGGACCCTGCCGACCCCTGGGCCTGAGTTCAGACCAGGGCATGAGTTGGGGGGGAGTGAGATGCTGCCGCACCTGGAGCCTCCAAACCTCACAACCACCCCTCCACCTGCAGCAGGTATTTCGAGCTGAGCTCTCCGCCTCCTCTGGGGATCTGCTGAATCCAGCTGAGTTAGCTCCTGCACGGGGATGGGAGGTTGGAGATCTGCAGGGCGACAGAGACTGGGGAGAGGGGGCATGGGTGGGTACAGGACTCCACACCTTCACCCCAGCCCCATCTGTCCATCCCATAAGCGTTAGGGCCCCCATGCGGGGCACAGTGCCTACTGTATGCACTCCCTGCAGGACCCAGTGCCTCCTGTGTATTGTCCCTGCAGGGCACAGGGACTGCTGTATGCACTTTCTATAGGACTCAGTGCCTGCTGTATACACTCACTGCAGAGTACAATGCCTGCTGTAGACATTCTCTGTAGAGCATGGTGCCTGCTGTATGCACTTTCTATAGGGTACATTGACTGTTGTATACACTCCTTGGGAGGGTCAGTGTCTACTAAATGCATTCCTTGCAGGGTGCAGTACCTACTGTATACACTCCCTGCAGGGCCAAGTGTCTACTGTATGCATGTCTAGGATGCAGTGACTGCTGCATACATTGCCTGCAAAGCATAATGCCTGCTGTGTACACTCCATGCAGGACACAGCGCCTGCTGTATGCATTCTTTGCAGATCACAATGTCTGGTATATACACTCCTTGCAGGGTACAGTGCCTGCTGTATATCTTCCTGCAGGACACAGCACCTGCTGTATGCACACCCTGCATAGCGCGGTGGACTGGGGCTTGGGGCATAAGGCACATGGGGGTGGGGGTGCGGGGGATGAGATTGTCCACTTGGTGGCGCTCCTGGCCAAGCCTGATTTCTTTCTGATGCCGCCCAGGCCCGAGGCCCCAGCTCAGCACACAGTAGCTGCTCTGCAGAGGGTGCCTGCCCTCACCATCCCCCTCTCTCTCCTGCTATCCTCTCTCGAGCCTTGTTCCCCCAGGCTGAACCTTGTCAAGGTCACTGCCTACATTGATGCTGATCCGCTGGCCACTGGTCCATGCTCTATCCTCATCTCACCCACTCAGGCTGCCCCTCCTCCTCCCGGGAGCCCATCCTCTTGTGACCTTGGGGGACCCCATGCCCACCTCATCCTCTGACACTCAGGCCCCAGTCTCCGTTCTGTCCACACTCTCACCCCATGACCTCATCGATGACTCTAAACACCCCTGTGTGCAAAGGATGCCCACATGTCCGTCCCCAGCCAGACGCGGCCCCTGGACTCCCAGCCCTCCTTGCCTCACCCTAGACCCATCCTCGGGTGACCTCCGGACTTGTGCCTCTCCCTCCCCCGCAGGGAATGGGGTGCCTCCCCTCACTGGCTGCTCAGCCCAAGCTCCCACCTGCCTCCTCCCAGTGCCTCCCCCGTGGGATCTGTCCCAAGGCCTGCAGACTCCACTCCAAACAGCTGGGAGCTGCCCAGTGCCCTCCCCACCCCCCACGCCCCCAGCCCAGCCCCTGACCCCAGCATGCCTGCC